ACCTGCGGTGAGCTGAGACAGCAACTACACTCTCCAGAGCAGCCATGGGGAATTTTCTATCGCAGACAGCTCCAGCTCCTGCACCGGCAGAGGTCACAGAGCCATCTACAAAGCCTGGGCAAGATTTTAAACTTTTCATTTCTCAGATGAGACTTGCAGATTAATCTTTTTATCCAGAGAGAGAAAAAGAGAGTGATCAACATGTAAAGAGACTTTATAAACTACCAGTGACAGGAAAGAAAAGAAGCTTCAGAAAAGGTAGAGAATTAAGAAGATGCTTTAATTAAGATGAAATATTTTTCTGTTAAAGCTATGGAGATGGACAATAAAGTCCTGAAAGAACTCCTTTAATTCATAACAGTATATAGGGAGGAATAGAGTGTTCAAAGTGAAAATTTTGAGTAAAAAGTAGAGTGATTGTGATACAGTGAAGTGCTGGAAACAGTGAAGCAAAAATTTGAAGCCTTGGGGGACAATGAAAAAAAACTGTTTTCTGGTGAAGCTCACAGAAACAGATGAAGAAGACTTTTGCTTTTGAATAACTCATCCTTAAAATGCCATCCCTAGACTCATGGCCCATACACACCTGTGAAATGGGAGGAGTGAGCTCTGATAACAGCAGCTCTGGGCAGCTGACATCAGGGTAATGGAAAACTATAACAAAAAATAGTTTTCTTGTGAGAAACTCCATAAATTAACAGAAAGAAATTTCTGTTTCTCTACAAAGACTGGTGAAAAGACTGTAGCAGGAATTGAGACTGTTTAAACCACCAAAGTTCCAAAGTTTTTGTCTCTGTTGTCATGTGAACAAGAGAATAGTGGGTAGATAGGAGATAAAAAAGGTTTTTTCTGGAAGTTTATTCTGGTGTTATTATTGTAGTTTGTCAATAAACTTTCTTTATTCCTTTTAAGTTTTATGCCTGTTTTGCTCTTGTTCTAATCCATATCTCATGACACCATCAAGTCCCGGCAAGCAGGGGATGGCTCTGGGCAGGGTCCCTGGCCAGGAGCGGGCCCCAGAGCGCCTCTGCCTTTCAAGGGCAATCTCGTCCCCACTCTTTCTCCTGCCCACCTTGCTTTGCCTCTGCCCGCTGCTCCTGGGGCTGCTCTTGGACAAACAGCCTCAGTGGGAGCCAGCACTGGCTGCAGCCCCAGCGGGCTCCCCAGGACAAGGCCCAGCAATTAAGAGGCCAATGAAAGGCCTGGGCAGCAGCAGAACTCTCAGCAGAGTTATTTGGGCAACCAAGGACTAGCCAGAAGTGCACAGCAGCCTCACTGGGAATGTCTCCTGACTATGACCAACCTTTCAAAAAGCTGTTTGAGGCAAAACACTCACCGTTTTCTTTTCCAGCAATACCAAATTCCAGCATAGCACTCTTCTCATGCTTTCCCAGATATTGTGAGCATGTGTTGTGGTGCCGGCTGCATCTATGGGAGCAATGGGCAGTGAGAGCCCGTGCTGTGCTGCACTGCTGAGCTGGCAGCACGCTGGATATGGCCACGGCGTTCTCTGTTTCCCCCAGAGCTGGGGCCTGCAGGCACCTTGTTGGCCCTTGGCACAGGCTGTGCCACCCAACAAAGCCCAGAAGGCCAGGAGCAGAGCCTGGGGGACAGCACAGCTGCTTGGGCAGTGGCTCCTTCCAGGGACACGGGCCAAACCCATCCCTGAGCAGCCACTGCCACCCCTGACCCTCCCTTCTCCATGACAGCTCCCCAAGCCCAAGGAGAAAAAAAAACTGTCAAAAAGTCTACAGCCAGGGAACAGATTGTCCTAGTAATTGTGTGCTGCTGATTTTTTCTGCTATTAGTCCCAGAAATATCTGTCAGCCTGCTCTAAATGTCCAAACATGGTCTGACAAGCCTATTTGCTTTTCAGTTAGAAATTTTCAGAAATTTTGCAATCAATCCAGCAATAAGTTCCAGGTTACCTCTGTGAATTACACACTACAGTTTCCTTTGTTTATTTCCACTACCTGGAGGGTCCTGTATATGATCTTGAGGATCTGATTCTTTTCAATGATTTTTTTTTTTATTGCGATAGATGAAAGAGCTTTTTTTTTTTCTTTTTTTTTTGGTAGGTCTGTTTTTTCTCTTAGTATGTTTGTTTTCTTATAAATCCACATGTAAACTTATGTTTATTTAGGTTTTTTCATTCTGCAAGCAATTATTTTGACAGTCACTTGTTCACTTCTTAGTTAATTTTCCATATATAAAAAAAAAAATGACTGTTTTCATAGGAATAAAAAGATCTCAGAAAGCTGTATTTTTAATTTTGCTGACATGCTCTCTCCCCGCTTGCAGCTTTTACTATGATACTTTTGGAAACATCCCTGAGGATAAGCAGAGTTATTTGGGAAATGCTTGGCTTAACCTGGGAAATGGATTATTATTTTTGGTGCTCTAAACCTACATTGTTCCAAGCTTCACAGCCGCTGTCCTGATGGATGCCTGTGTGAATTAAAACAATGTTTGTGAGGCAGCTGAAGAGCTCAGACTTCAGGGATTAAAATTCCTGGGAGGAAGAGGATGAAGAAAGGAGAAAATCCTGTTTCAAAGGCTGTTTTTTCATTTCTAGTATGCCAGAA